TTTTGGTGTATAAGTTAGCGGATAAATTTAAGCATGCTTAGCAAATTAGCCCATGTCCTCAGCAGTATGTGTTACAAGAGAGTTTAAAACGTCAAATCCGCTTCACGACTATCTGGCATAATTAAGCAGCGATTGGTTCAAATAAATATAAAGAGTTCGAAAAATAAGACTTGCCATCAATGACTGCGAATCTGGCGTCCAGTCCGGCCGTGACGACCGTTAATTTCTGCGACTTTTTTGTGTCAATATCATACCGGGCCAGTAAACATTGCCCTTCGGTCGCGGACGTACCCAGTAGGCAGATTGTGTCCAGTGGATTTCGGTGGTGCTCATTCAGTAGACACTCACTGTCCGCTGAGCCACCCAAGTGCCGCCTGCGTCTCTCATTAAACGGACAATTTCTATCGCCCCTCGAAGATGGTGTGTCAATCCACTTGGTTATTCGACCTAGAAGACGACTTTATTTGTTCAAAAAGTTAAATGTTATCCGGCAACATACGAGCACGCCAAATTTTTATTCCAAAAACCTTCGTCATCATCATGCAGTCCGTATCGAAAGTCGGCAGCAACCTGATACCACCGCACTTCTTTCATCATTGCTTCCGCGTGCCCCAATCGTGTTTTATCTTCTTTTCCGAGTGGACTTATCCACTGTCCAATCGCCTTCAGGACACTCTCTTCGCTGTCCACCTGAAGGTCATCCGCCCGCAACAGGAACAGAACAGCTTCAAATGGTAACTGGATAAAAAAATCAGCGGGAACAGTAGCCTCAAAGGTTGCCTTGATATGCTGTAGGCAGGCATTTCTTAACATGTTACTTTTCAGAAGCTGTGCAAGCTCCCATTTATTTGCTATGTTTTCGGAATCCAGCCTGCGAGCTAATTATACGGCAAAAACACTTACCTGGCGGCCATAAAACGCGCTGCCCATTGTTCCACTTGAGGCAGTTCGAGTTGCAGTGACAGCATAATCAGACCAGCCACATTTGATTCGTGGACTTCAAGTTTGCCAGTGTATATATAGTCTATGAAGGATGTAGCGACTCTAGAAGGCAGTCATTATATAAGATGGGCTAGTACTCAGGAGAAATTTGTGGCCACTTGAGCACGAAATCCTGACCGTTCGTCGGTTTTTCACACAGGGTGTCACACAACGCTGGCACCCGGGAAGCCAAAACAAGCCTATGTGCATGCACCTTGACGTTATTCTGTAGCTTGAAATTGGAAATGAATTAGAGAGTCATGAAATATGCCTACTTTTATCGTCAAATCGGCCAGTTTGCCGGCCTCACGAAGGTTGTTTAATTGAGGAAGGCACTGTATAAGCGCCGGCTGATCTTCAAACGTCTGAGTCTCCTGTTGGGTCATTTTGCACGCAAAGAAAAAGGCCTAGTAGGGAGCCAAATTGTGATCAGTCTTCAGCGAAAAAATTAATACGAAAGGACAAACGAATAGACATAAATAACCAGCAGGCGGATAATTTTCTTCAAACCCTCTTACCAATCTTTAAATACCGTAAACCGTTCAATTTGTAGTGAGCGGCATTAGGAGGGCGTAACTGCCTAGTGTTTGACTTTGTTTTATAGTTACAGGGTCGAGTTGAAATTCAGAGCAGACGCAAGCTATGTC